CACAGAGAGGAGGGGGGAGAGTAAGGGTGAGGAGAAGGGGAGATGAGTAGAACGCGGGGGGGACTGAGCAGAACACAGGGAGGGTGGGTGGTGAGAAGGACACAGGGAGGGGGGAGGTGAGAAGAACACAGGGAGGAGGGAAGTGAGAAGAACACAGGGAGGGGGGAAGTGAGAAGAACACAGGTGGGGGGTGTAGTGAGAAGAACACAGGGAGGAGGGAAGTGAGAAGAACACAGGTGGGGGGTGTAGTGAGAAGAACACAGGGAGGGTGGAGGGGGGATGAGAAGAGCACCAGGAGGGTGGGTGAGTGTGAGAAGAGACCGCTAGGGGAGGGTGGGGGAGAGGAGAGACCCTAGACACTATAGTCCCCAGAACCACTTTAGCTTAATGAAGTGGTTCTGGTGTCTACAGCCGGTCCCTGCAGGCTTTTTAATGTAAACACACACTGTGTGCAGCACTGGCGTTAGTTCATATGGCAGATCATATGTGTGGGGCATGGGGGGGGGGCAAAAATCCTTGCACCAGCTCTGATCCTGGGCAGGTGCACCAGTCTACTGGTGACCCACAGGAGGGGAGTGCACTGATTGCACAGCACTCTCCTCCTGCCCAGATCCGTCTTTACCGCAGTGCAAGTGCCCTTAATTTACAGTGGCTCACACTCACATCAAGCAGTGCCTGGAGCCCTTTGCAGAGACGGGAACAAAGAGGTTCTGCGGCAGCTGGCCATCCTGCAAGCATTACATTAAACAGCTGTTCCCCATGCAGCCAAAGGTGGCGCTGTGCTGGGAGATTGTGATTACTCTTCACTTCCTCCCAGCCTACAGAGCAGCGCATGGGAGAGAGAGAGGAGGAGACATGATTTAATCTTACAACAAATCCACTAAGCAAATCTTTATAAATTGGGGCGGGATCAGCTCTGTTTCCACAGTTTATTGGTGTTTACTCTGATGTCTGTATTAATATTGAGGGGTGTCTAAGAAGTAACGTCAGTGTCTGTCAGCAGGGCCAGCCGTTGGGGTGTGCACGCTGTGCGGTCACGCAGGGTGCCAAGACAACAGAGGCGCCCGGCGGCCAACACAGCTCACAAGTTGGGGACACCAGCATATTCAATTTAAACTATTCGCTGGTGGTCCACTGGTGTGCACCAGCAGTAGGTGCAGTCAGGTCATATCCTCTCCCTCGTGGTTCCAGCACTCAGTTAGTGAGTTGGAGCACAGGCTCAGAGATTCTCAGCCTGCGCTCTGACAACATTGAAAGTCAGAGCCGTGAAGGAGCGGGTATGGCAAAGAGCTACTGTTAGCATAACATCAATATCCGTTATAAAACCAGGAAAAGGTGGGCATGGATGGTAAGCTGATTTGGTGGTGCAATGGGCCACTTGACTGGTTTTGCCCCCCCCAGGCCTAAGGCTGCCAGCCCTCCTCTGATCATTACCATATGAAAGGACTTCCTAACTGAGAGGCAAGCAAGGCATGATGTGAGAGTTGGTCCAGGCGACTTATGTGTGACTTCTCACACCTTACAGAATAGCTCTGTTAAGGGTCCCCGCTTCAAAGAGATACTTAAGTTGTAAGCTCTGGCCTTCCATGCACTCAATTAACCCCTTTTGAAATATTAAAATGTGTTTGTGGGGTGTTTGTAACTATTGTAGATTTTTCTGTACCTGAGGTATAATTAAATTAAAGAGGTTTCCTAACGCAATTATTTCTCAGACACCGGAAGCGTCTCCAGCATTCATATTTAGGGTGGGGGAAAGGTAAGAAGATTTAGCTCTACTTCCATGAACAACTAAAAATGGTTGGCACTAAAGTTTGTGCCCTGACCTATAGTTGGTGAATACTATACAAACACAAACTAAAATTACTTGTTTCATTCTCATGCTTACAATATGTAATCCTGGGTACATACTGATCATTTACTCAAAAGCTTCAATTAAAGTTCCCGTTACTTACAGTAATAGTGCCACTGTCTGGAGTGTCTGCTCCGCTCACTCAGTCCTTCTGCAAACTGAACTCTCAGGTAGGCAAGGTTTCACACCTTATGTGGGGCCACACTGAAAACTGTCTGCAATCACTGGTAAGTAAGGTGACACTGTCACACCACTGTCTGCAATCTCAAGAGTAAGTGCCACTGTCACACCACTCACTGTCTGCATTCAGGGGTAAGTCACTTTTGTCACACTCACAGCACTCACTGTAATCACTGCATTAAATTCACTTTTATCAGAACCTAGATGTGGCAAAGGCCGCTGGCCACAATACCTGCTCCTCTCTGCTTGCTTTGCTCCCCTTTACTTGCTCTGCTCCGCTACTCTCGACTTGCGCTGCTTTTCTCTACTTGCTCTGCTTCTCTCTGCTCTGCTCCGCTCCGCTCTCCTCTACCTGCTCTGCTCCTCTCTACTGGCTCTCCTCCTCTCTGCTTGCTCTGCTCTGTCTCCTCTCTGCTTGCTCTGCTCCTGCACACATATTGCCTAATACATACACCCATACACGCAAACTGCCTAATACATACATCCATACACACACATTGCCCAATACATACACACATATTGCCTAATACATAGACCCATAAATGCACACTGCCTAATACATACACCCATACATGCACACTGATTGATACTTACATCCATACACACATACTACCCAATACATAGATCTGTACACACACACACTGCCTAATACCTACATCCATACACACACTGCCTAATACATCCATCTGTACACACATATTGCACAATACATACATCTATACACATATATTGCCTAATACATACACCCATACAGGCACACTGCCTAATATATACATCCATACACACTGCCTAATACCAGACATCCCAAGTCTCCTGGTAGTCCTGGGAGACTCCTGCATGTTAAAGGACCACTCTAGGCACCACTAAACTACCTGATTTAACATCCCTATTCTATACCTCACTACTCAGTGCCCCTCTGAACCCCACTTTTAACTTTTAAATTCTATTCTAAATACCCCTTTACTTACCTTCTTTGCAGCGCTACGTCACCGATCGTCGACACCCCCCGCGCTGTCATCGTGTCTGCTGACTGTCTTCCCCGCTGTCCGCCAATGAATCCTCTCATAGGAAATCATTGCGGCAGCAAAGCGCATGCGCGTCCAGCGCGGCGCTCATCCAATGAAAATCTTCTCATAGAGATTCATTGACTACAATGAATCTCAATGGGAAGAATTTCTATGCACACCGCGCATGTGCGCGCGTTCACGAGCGGCGAACTGAGTGACATCTCAGTTCACCGCCCACTGCCCTCCCTTAGCCCACCTCCCATTCCTGTAGCCCCGGTTTTCTATCAGATTCAGATACCTTCTGAATCTGATAGAACACCAACTCTCACTACCCTGCGCCAGTCAAGCAGACCAGCAAAGAAAGTAAATATTAAATTAAATATACATTAAATTATATATATATATATATATATATATATATATATATATATATATATATATATATATATATATATATATATATATATATATATATATATATATAAAAAAATATATATATATATCTCTATATATTTATATATCTACATATAAATATATATATTTATAAATATGTATAGATATATATAGTTATATTGAAATATATATATATATATATAGCAAAATATATATATACACAAATATATATAGAAATATATAGATATATAGAAATATATCTATATAGATACATATATATAGCAAAATATATATATCAAAATATATATATATATATATATATAGACATATATAGATATATATAAATATGTATATATATATATATAGTTATATTGAAATATAAATATAGAGATATAGAAATATATATATATATAGTAAAATAAATATATATAGATATATATACAGAAATATATATATAGAAATATATAGATATATATAGAAATATATATATATACATATATAGAAATAGATATATATATAGATATATATAGTTATATATAAATATATATATATATAGAGAGAGATATATTGAAATATATAGAGATATATTTATATGTATAGATATATATATATATATATATATATATATAGAGTTTAAGTTATAAAGATATATATATATATATATCTCAATATATTGAAATATATATATAGAAATATAT